CAGTGTAACATGGTCATAACATTAAATACAAATTAAACTTATTTAAAATATTTAAACATTGATTTTAGCTTTTGTTCCTTATATTTTCTTATATTTAAATCAATAAATGCCTTTTTTGGGTAAAATCAAACAAAATGTTGTTTGACCATGGTTGACTGTGTGCCATGGTCATCATTATTATACTTTGACTGTGGTTGACTGTGTAACATGGTCATGAAAAAAATGCAAATTAAATTAATTTAGAATATTTAAAAACTCATTTTTAGCTTTTGTTTCTTATATTTTCCAATATTTATATCAATTTATGCCTTTTTTTTGGTAAAATCAAACAAAATCTCTTTTGACAATGGTTGACGGTGTGCCATGGTCATCATTATTTCTGATCATGGTCAGCCACAATGGTTAGACCATAGTCAAAACATGGTCGACCATGGTTGACAATGAAAAACCATGGTCATTCTAACGCAGGGGCAGTGTCGAAGGATAAACTGTAATGGATAATGTGACTCATGGCGCTTTAAAACTTGATGGCGACCTAAGTTTTGGTTGTAATCTTGTTGCCTTTCAGTTGTCTTGTTGATGAGYACAAGTACGATCTTGGATGCTTGGCACCAGCTGTAAGTATCTTGTTTACGTTACCGTGTTCAGTCTGTCCAGATAGAGAAAAACTGTGCTCTTGGCCTCGAAAAAAACCGACCTCGGCTTAACGGCTTCGCTCCACGTATTCAAGACCTCGGTTAGAGATGTTCCTTATATCCTGACCGTCTGGCCGATAAATAAACTCAATATGTTTGTCTACTTTCCAAAGAACAATTTGTCATGAACAAATGGGTGCTGACGTAATGGAACATAGTTACGTGACTTCAACTAATAGCTTTTAAAACTTTTTATCCGTAATCAGGTCCGTGCTTTCTATTTCGACTACAGCTGCAGCCTTAGTGACTTTCAGAACAGAACATTTTACTAGCTGTTATTGATTTTTTTTTTTTTTTTTTTTTTTTTTTTTTTTTTTTTTCTCTTTTTTTTTTTTTTTTTTTTGTGAATCTGTCACCCTTCATTTAAGATTTTCATCATCGCTGTTTTGAGCTTCATGAGGAAGAGAGTTCAACTGAAGCCTGATTTATGGAATGGACGTCCAGGACTACCAGTGTAAGTTGCATACAATATTTCTATTTTTTAATGTTTTACAACCATCGTTCCCGTACGGGGTTTTTTCGTGAGGTTCCCTCCACATTCACTACCACTACTTTTTATATTTACAACACGCAACTCACAATTCACATGTTGATTTTTATGGAGGGAGGAATACCAATAAATTCTGGAGAAAACCCGCTTGGCATAGAAGAGCCTGAGAACAACACATTAAAAGAACTCATCCCCCTTATTGTAAATCAGAATATATTTTATTGAATTGGCTGATATTGTATAAATTGTATAAATTGAAGTTGATCTCGTATATGTGTGAGAAGTAATGGCTGGCATCTTCTTACTTTCATCTTGCGCACTAAGACTGGTTTTGACCCCCTTTATTTGATACTTGTTCTTTGTGTGTGTGTGTGTGTGTTCTACAGCCCTGTGGATTTTCTAGGCGATGAAAGGAACAGATTCATCATACCATTTGCCTTTGGCGCAACTGCCGCTTCTTCCTTAAACACGTTTTTCGGTGCATCTGCTGCTTCAAAAGACCTTCAAGGATCCGCTTGGTCAAAAGGTATATCATACTTGGTCAGTAAGGGCTGGTTCATATTAAACTGAATGGATTTGTGATCGTTATTGTGTTAAGATCAAGAGGTAACTGAGAACATAAATCCAGAACATAAGGCCTTCCATGGAGGAACCAGACCAAAAAGATAACTGAGACACTTACGATTCTCACTTAAGTGTTCACAAACTCATTTTGTCTGACAAGGCTTATCGATATCAGGGGATCCCAATTCCAGTCCAGAAAAATATCAGAGCATTTACTAACAGTTTTAGAAACAATAGTGTTTCAAATTATTTAGGGCGTTGACAAGGCTTTTATGGAAGTCTAAACAGCAATGCATTTTTTGTGCAAGCTTATCAAAATGTTACGAAATTTGTGGATGTGCAGCGTGAGTCTTTTCTTTTTGTTTTCTTTGTTTGCATTGCATTTAATCGATTGTTGTGATTTAGCTTTTCAAGGAATACTTATGACCATGCTATATGGCATCATCAACTATCCATACCTCGCTTGTCTTAATGCTGAATACAAGATCATTGGATACGCAATGGGGCTGCTTTACTCGTTCGTAAGGTAAGTGATAAGTCAGACGCTGTTAACAAGTTTGTCAACTCAAACTTATAGACTCTTGTGCAACTGCGGAGAAATTTGCACTCTGCATTGGCCTTTAAAGCTAGAAAAACTTGTTGCCGAGAAAATTTCACGAAAATGTTAGCTAGTTCTTTCTCACCAAGTAAGCTCTTGACTTCACTTCTTTCTTTTGCCCCTTTGTTTCTCAAGATTTGTTGTAGATTTGTTTGTGTACTTTAATTACTTGGACTGCACTCTGGGCGAAGAAAATAAACAGCGATTGAAAAAACTGGTATGTGCTTTAATATTATACCCTAACAAATTGTCACAGTGTTGCAGAAATAGTGATGATGATAATGTTGATGATGATGACGACGACGACGATGATGATGATGACGACTACGATGATGATTATGTTGATGACGAAGACGATAATGATGATGATGATGACGACGATGATGATGGGGATGATGGTGATGATGGTGATGATGATGATGATGATGATGAACGTGATGATGATGAGGACGACTACCCACGATTTTGAAAAACCTATTTGCCGATCATCTAAAAACAGTAATCCACATAAAAGCCTATCTTAATACAAACTTTTTTTCACTTTTCACACAAAAATTGTGTTTCTTTCATATTGAAGACTTCAAAGATTATAAGTAATAAAGTATTAATTATAATAATAAATCAGTATAATTATGCAGCTTCTCATTAATCCCAAATAGGTAACTGTCCAACTGATATGGGATTAATTAGGCAGCTATATAATTAATAGGTAATGGGATTTCATGCTCCCCAATCAAGAAATAATTAGACTCGAAAAATTCCTCTGACTGCCAAATTGGACTCGGCCTACGGCCTCATCCAATTTTGTCAGTCCTCGGAATTTTCCTCGTCCAAGTATTTCTTAATTGGACAGCATGGAGTCCTATTACATATACTAATTGAATACTAAAGGTTGATCGTTCTCACATTCTAGCTTCAAAAATACTTTTGTTTTAAGAATCGTAAAGATTTGTTTTACTTAGAAGGGGACGTTTCAATGTGTAGCATGAAATATTCATCTAAATATATCCTACATATCCCTCCCACATACGTGGAAGATATTTTTGTCAATGAGTTTGCCACTTATGGTGATGATGGAGTAGCACAATGATATTTCTCGCTATTTTCATCCGGCTTTTACGCGTCTGAATCGTAGTATTGTTGTGAACAGTAGAGCTTGTATACAGTATAAGTATGAAAAAAATATTCAGTAAATTTTACTTTGATAAATTTTTACAGAACATCGAGTACATAATGTATGGGGGAATCTTAACCAATATACCTGTGGTTGTCTGCACTTTATTTCTCGTTGGAAGCTACTCCGTACTGTTGTTTAAGGAAATCAAGAAACTTTGGGTTCAAGAGCTTCCAAATTTTCGATATGTGCTCCAAGTACGTATTTATTTTAATTTGTCTTCAAAATTTGATCTTAGTTGCTTTTCTTATTTTGGTTTTCCTTTAATTGTCACAGTTTTAAGTTTAAGCTTACTTCGGTTTTCGATATTCCGCGAACTCGGTAGTTACAAGCTGCACGCCGAAATTTGGTTTTCGCTGCCGTTGATCAAAAATAATCAGTCGGTAACTTTTATGTTCTTGAATGAACGAGCCGTTGGAATGTCTGAGTTTGCAGAACATGGAAAACTGCAATAAGTTTAATAATACTTCAGTACCCAATAACAGAAAACAAAAATAAAAATGTTTGAATCCGCTTATACATAGTCTTATTATTACTCCCTGCAAATATGCTCTCAATACCTCCTGCATAGAGAGCTCTAGCTTTTCATTGACATCCAGTATTGCTTAACCTCTTAGACGTCAGGCAAGCAAAACTACACTTGAATGAAATGCTCAATCTCTTTAGTGCCGATGAGTTATTCAGAGGGATTTTGCAGGAAATATTGTAATGGAAGATTCGTTAAAGCGCATTCAAAAAGTTTTGTCATTAGGTTCGGCTCATTTGAAATACCTCAGTTTAACGTACGATAATGACTCTTTTAGAAAGAAGAAACAACAAACATTAACCTGGCCGGGAAAACAGAGAGAGCTCATGTTTATCTTCTGTTTTCTAATCAACTACACCAGGCAGGGAAAAGGTATGTCCTAAAAAATGCAATTTATTCAAAGTTCTCAGTTTTTTGTGTTTTTTTTTTATAGTTTTTTTTTTATACGTACGACAACACTAATTTTGCCAAGTACCATGGTGCAACACCTGCAGCAACGCTGCAAGCAACCTGAAGGCGATTATGTGGCACGCATTACCATAACCTATGACAACGTTGGAACAGTGATTCATTCACTTTGCTGCTATTTTCGCTTACGTTTGGAGCTTGAACATTGTCCGATTTCGTTCGAGCTTGAAAAAGTTTCATTGACAACGGCATAACATCGTGTTTCTATGGAAAATAGAAACAAATAGAACAAATTTAGACAATCAACGTAAAAGGTGACTACATTCCTTCGAGCCGCGACAAACTGTCGATACAAAATGTTCAAGCTTCAAATTTAAGAATGAAAGTTCTAATATAATTTATTGATATTTATCGGTTGCAGATCACCTAACCAAAATGGCACCTGGTATGATTCACTGAAGAATTGGATATACGTCACACGCCCAGGTGGGGTAAAACGCTCTATATGACTGACTGACTGACTGACTAACTGACGGACTGACTGACTGACTGACTGACTGACTGACTGACTGACTGAATGGTAATGTATATTTTATTGGTAAATAATCATTTATATAAACTTTTTAATTCTAGAACATTCCTTTTTTAGAAACAAATCTTTAGCGTATT